TAAAACTGTATATACTTGTATATACTGAATGCTGGTGAGTGATACTCCAGTAACTTTAAAAATATTTGAGTGAACCTTTTAGATAATTATGGTTTATTTTTGTGCGATCGCACTTCTTTGTCATTCCAGTTATGTCAAGTTTTGCGTGTTCATAAAACGCATCAATTAACGCCAAATGTGGTCATCAGAGTTGTGTTGATAACATGATTACTGCCATTAATTAGTTGTTGTTATTTTTTCGTTTTTTTTTAAGTATTGTCCATGGCGTTTGTCTGAAGAGCTCATCATGGCTYATCAACAATTGTCATATTGATTATATTCATTTTGAAAACATAAGCGAATCCTGCMATCTGATTGGTTCTTAGCTTATGCTGTACAATGTGTTAGGTTTCAAAATGGATATGATTATAAGCGGTAATTGAACTTCGCAGTCGTGCGATTTTGAATTCGCTGAACCAAATTGCACTCGACTCAGTTCAATTATTAAAAATATAATTATATTTACATGATTATATTTGGTTTGTTTATAACACTGCTATGCAGACATCCGTATGCCATATTGGCAGATCAAGCAGTCAGTTGTTGATAGTTGTTACCATGGAGACGTTTTCCTATAAGTATATTATAAATTGATTATTGCTGATAATATCAATATCAGTATTTGTTACAATTACGGGCGCCTACGTCCGTACAACATATTTAGTTGTAGTTTTGGTTATAGTTTATTTTAGTTTTAGTTATAGTTATTGTTATTGTATTGTCTGTAATTGTCGATTGAAAACCTATAAGGTACGTTAAGATATCACTAGAAAGGCTTAAGTTAAAAAATAGATGAAAACAACATAAAATTGAAAAAAAAAAAAAAACGAAAACAAAAAAAGCAAAAAAAAAAGGATTAGTTTCCAGAGGAAAAGAAGACGAACAAAACCGCTAAGTTCAGATATCACGTGATTTTTTCATTTTCCCACGCCCTGCATCAGAATATGGGCAGACTGATGTATGGCATACAGTATCTTGAATTGACGTGTTATTGACCACACCCTAATACCACGTGTTTACCACGCCCTGCAACGGATAATGGGCAGTCTGATGTAGGACAAATAGGACTCTGTGGTAATTTCAAACCATTTTCTGGCCACATTATATTAATTATTTTAGTTTCTAAAGTTGAGTTTGGCGTGCAAGATAGTAGACACATTCACAGGTCAATGAATGGTGTTTGCGAGGGATAATTTTTTGGTTTTTGAACTCGAAAACCACATTAAAGGCCCACGTGTACCCAAGAGTCTTTGCGCGATTTTCTCACATATGAAAATTCGCCATATTTTATTTTGAAACAATCGGGACGTCGCACATTTTAACAGGAGGTCATTTGTAAAACAAGAGAAGCGATCCCAAAGGCTCTTGAATGTACTCGGGGCTTTAGCATCGTMATCGTTTAGATACTTGATTTGTAATTTCTACCATCTGTGAGCATGTCATGAATGCTATAATAATTCTAGTGAAGTATACAGTCACAGCCGTCCTAAAATCGGTTCAGTCTTCTCAGCACGAAGGGAAAGGAAGCCGAACCGTGGATATATTGATGGTTTATATCTTTGACAACTTATTTACAAAAATATTGTTCTTTTTATGACTGCATATTTCAGACATGTCCGCCATTTTGAATTGTCAAACGGCCTTTGACGTCATTTAACATGGCGGCTGTTTGTAATGACAATTTGAACGTTTTTCAGCAAGCACCATTGACCTCCAACTTCACCTTTCATGACATTTTAGCTATTTTAGCTTAATTTAATCTATGCCAAGACATTGAGTTTAGAGAACGCTCAAGTAAGAGTGACTCATACTCGGGTTTCATCACTGATTTGTTTTCGAGACTTTTTTTTGTTTCCTTCCTTGTGGAGTGGAAAGCGCTTCAAAAACGCAACGAAACGCATCAGTGTGTCGACGAGACCTGAACGTTTTGCTTTCTCGGTGCAATAGGAATATCAATTGTTATTATGAATTGAATTATTTAAGAAAGTACCGTGCATGCGCAAGCCAGAAAAGGCGCATGTTACTAGGATAATCCATTTTTCGAGGAAAAATACGACTAATTATTGAAGTTGTTTTGAAGACGTCTCCATAGTGATCACTTGAACAACGCATTTCTTTCCCTTTCCCATTTCTTCCAATAAAGGAAGAAAAAATACAATCCCACTCTCTCTCCATCCACCKAACTTGAATCAGTGAAGCTCGGAATGCGAATTTTACAGATAAATGTAATGATGTAACTTATCATAGATTTTGATAGTTAAAAGGGTTGAAATCCTGTATTGTTATTGTTGAGAGTTGAAATAAAAGTTCATACAGTATAAATAAGTTGAAAATATTATCTTTGAAATACTTAGCTGCGTTCATAATGTGGTGAAATTATTAATTTCCAAAAAAATTTTCAACATCCTGTCCACAACTACGTACCGAAAAAATTAGCAACCCCCCGAAGCAAAAATAAAAAAAAATGTCACCCCCCCTCCCCCAAAAAAAGTCTTCCAAGGAAAGTGCAGATCCAAATGACGATGATGACACTGATGATGRTGATGAAGTTGATGATAAACTAATATGGCGTTTAATCCGTAAATTGAACTCTACAATTTATACCTTGTCTTCCTTTTGTAATTAAGAGTTTTAGCAACCCCCCTCTTGAACACAGTAAAAATTTGTCATCCCCCCAAAACATGTCTATAAAATTTGCGATCCCCCCCCCAAATTTCAGCCCCCCCCCTGTGGTATACATTATGAACGCAGCCTTAATGTCCCAAATCAGGAGCCCATTACTCCCATCCAAACAAAGAAGTAAAAGTGACCTGCATGGCTTTAACGTTAACGAAACGGCAAGAAGAGAAGAATATAATTGATATTATCTCTGAAGCGGCCAAAAAAAGTTTAGATAATCAAGGCTACTCTCTCGCTGCGCTGTGGCCTTCATTTATAGACTTTGGACACCACTTTATTCCCATTGGACGCAAAAGATCCGTTTCGCTGGAGAGCGACACGACGGCCTACTTCTTTAGACATGCGGGTTTCCTGTGGAAATTTAGATTTGGGAGCCTAGAATCTAATCTAATTTACATATTAGTCGATAAAAGTGAAAACATGGCGATGGTGTGGGAGAAATGGMGGATTATTTATCCATTTTGGCTTGTTGTTATATCATTATCAATGATACAGAAATGTCAAGGGGCAACGCATTGGATTGTWACAGAAAATGGACGAATTGAGGCCCAGGTGAGAGAAATTTTCTTCTAATAATCAGCTGGAATTCAGACGCTAATTTGGTCACTGAACCTAAAAATCGTTGCAATATCAAGCTTCGAATATTCCGCAATATTAATTTAAGATATTTTTTCATAGACTTAAGGCGATCGATTGTGTTTGCGACATGTTATACAATCAAAAAGAATATATATTTGTGTGAAAATACAAAATGTTGTGATGGTTATTGGATGCGTTCAGATGTTCAATACAAATGTTAAGATACAGTCTTCGAATTACAAATTACAGGACTACACGTAAGCTTAAGCTAACTAAAGGCTTATTGCATTTGAGTTTTTCGTAATTTTAAAGCATATTTTAACGTTTTCTGGTTTAAATTTAACAACAAAGTGATGATTTTAAGCGTTGGTCGTTATGCTTGATAGATTTGTCGTCAAAACAAACAATAAATTTAAGCTTAAGAATATTTCAAGCTTAATATATAAACACATTTTAGGTTTGCATATATTTCATTTGTACGATTACAAATCTAAAAAGCAGCTTTGAAACTTGTTTTGTTTCCACTTTTTATATTTTGATACTAATCATAATTACTTTATAGTACAGTATTTAAATGAATAATATAACAGAAAATACATTTGGAGTTTTTTTTTTTACTTAACAAATAGATCTCATTTTTCCGTGCGTGTGTACTCTAATAGATACACAGATGACGTCAAAATGTAGTGAGAACAACAGTCACGCACTCGACTGCGTCTCGTGCGTACTTTTTTGTTCTCACTACATTTTGACGTCATCTGTGTATCTATTAGAGTACACACGCACGGAAAAATGAGATCTATTTGTTAAGTAAAAAAAACAATTCACCATAAACACAAAGAAAAAGAAAGAGAGATGTTAAAATATAGTACACTAAAGTGTATTTCTCAGGCTTATGAAAACCAAACCTTGTTTCCAGACTTCCTTTAAGATTCCCTGCTTTCATTTACAGACAAATTCATTATTTAATCTCCAAAAACCATTTGATTTGGTGACATTCATCCACCAAGAGCAAGAATTAAACAAGGTCTACYTGCGTGGTGAATTAAAGAAAGAACAAGACATTTTAGATGAAGTCAATCGTCAGGAGAAGATTGATCTGTCTGAAACTTTCTTTAAAACKGATCCAACTTGTAGCAGGCTGAARCGCTGGTATGAGTTGGATTTGTCATTGAATTTTATTATTCCTTTTTCAAGCAAGGACATCAAGTAAGTTTATACAATATTGATAGAAATTTGGTTGATCATTTGGTAGTTACATTGTATCTGCAAGGGCGGATCCAGCTAAATAGTATTAAAGGGGGCCAAAGCCCCCCCTCTCCCCCCCTTATTCCTCCCTGGATCCAGCCTTGATCATATTGGTTGACATTGTGTATGATACAACAATTATTGGTTTACATTGGGTATGATATGTGAAATTATTGATTAAGGCTAGGATATAACAAATACTGGTTTGTCTGAGCATGACATGTAGAAAAATTGTGAATTTTATGCAGGTGTATAGCCTCAATTGCAAATGTAATTTCATCGACGTGTGCTTTCTTCACAAAGTTTTCACTACTTAAGGCTTGTAGTTAATCTCTAATAACCTGTTCTAAAGGCTAAGTCTGTGTAAATAMGATCTCAAAAATTGGCAGAATGAATATGTCTAAATCTTATGYACTCTTTTCCAATTAGTGTTGGCCAGCACATTGATCTGGAAAGTGCCGTAAAAACACACAGCGTCAAGACACCGCTTTGTCTCCAAAACATTCCYATCACACTCTACAGCTATGATCACCTTGAGGGTGTGGCTAACAGGCATACTTTACCAGGCATTAGCGAACATGGCTTGTTAACGACAATGAAATATGTTACAGATGTTGATGACTGGGGTGATAGGATTGCGCGGGCATTAAACAAGGTATATGAATGGATTTATGAATGAATGGGAAAAATTGAATGATTGGGAAAATTAAGAATTCATGAGTGGGACAATGAATGGATGAATAAATGATAATATTTGTGAATTGATGGATGGTTGGATGAATGAATTACTGAACAAATAAATGAATCTATAGATGAGAATGATGCAGAATAAATAGATACTAGATAAATGAACGCATATCATTAGTATTTTACAAGTGAATACATTAATCTTTATTTAGTTTACTGTTTATTAATATCTGAATAATTAATTTATCAAGTATTCTAATTTCTTCAGAACTCTACGTCATGGGTCCTGCAAAATATGGCGGCATTATACTGGCGAATAAAGGGAAATACAGCTCAGTCTGTCAACTGTCTGCGTGAGGCACTCTATTACTCCCCTAGGTATGACTTGAACAAGCTTATTAATTATTAAAAGATTGAAAGTTTAGTTGACACTCTGCAAGCCTTTATCAGATGAAGTAAAAAAGGCAGCAAATGCTTGGAGTTTTTTAAGTGGGCTTACAACTCTCTTCATGGATTATGAATTCTATTGTGTTTTGCCTTATGAATATTAGTGAGTTTCATAATTTTTTTTAAAAATAATTTTTAACACTTTATTCCCCAAATGTTTATTTACTATTGATATCATTTTTAACATTTTTTTAACTGTCTTGTTCTTTCATCAAATTCTTCTGTAGACAACATCAGGACATCGCTCTATTTAGCCTGGCAGTTGTTCTACATCATGCAAATTATTCCCTGGATGCAATAATGCTGCTTCATGTCTCGCTTGAAATCACGAGGGATGTTGCAATACATCAGTATGTTCTTGGAAACATTTATGCCGTAAGTTCTATTTGTAGAATATTTGAGATATAACACATCCTCTGATTGGCTGATGGTGATGCTTATAGTATGCATATTTGCTAGATTATGGCTTTATTAGAGTCACGCACATATTATCAGTCATATTTTGTAAAGATTTAGAAAGAAAGGAAAGGAATAGTGCTTAGAAGAACGTAATATTCCAGGAGAAAAGACCATTGGAAAAAAAATCTGAAAAATTAATTTTCTCACTGGGATTCGAACCCACGACCCTCTGATTTGTACTACCGATGCTCTACCAGCTGAGTTCAAGGCCAAGGGAAGGTGAATTGTGTAAGTTGAAGTGGATCTTGTAGCTCAGCTGGAAGAGCATTGGTAGTACAAATCCGAAGGTCGTGGGTTTGAATCCCAACAAGGGCAGAAATTAATTTTTCTGAATTTATTTATTTCTCGCGAAATAACCTCCTTCAAAGCACTTTCTTTTTATATTTTTTTATATATTTTTTTATATTTCTATATCATGTCTATCATAGTACTGTACCTTGTGATCCTTATATTCATATAGTGTATAGAGCGAATTACAATAAGATGAATAAATGAGTGAAGGACAAGACTCAGTACAGTGGATACAAACTTAATATGAACATTCAAGTCAAGTTCTCTCATTTCAGACCCTCCAGCTATTCAACATGACAGARCTTTGTCTCAAGTATGTCACACTTGTTCAACCAGCCTTCCAACATGCTGTGAATAAACTCAAAGTAGCTGTATGTGAAAGACGATACCATGAAGCAGTACTCGATCAGTTTAGGTACCTAGAAAATGACAGAAACTCAATGTTTTTGCATCAATGGATAATACGTGTATTGTATGTATTTATGCTGGGTCTTTTTGGATGTGAATTCAAATTTTTCAAGAAGCCAGAAATCCAGTGTAGTTATACTGGGTTATTTTGAAGTGAATTGAAGCTGTCAAAGGACACAGTTTAGTCTCCTTCAGGAATTTCATATTTTAAAAAGGGCCATGTTTAACCATCATTCAATGCAGTCATGATTTGCAGTTTCTGTACGTCACATATTTGAGTTCTATTTTTCAATCCTTAGCTCTCTTGAGAAAGTTCTCAGTAAAGTTCAAAAGCACAAAGACAAGCATCAATCTCTTCAAAAACTTCAAGACAGAGACAACATCAAGCAGCAGTTTGCCTATGATGTGTTCAAGAGACAGATTGAGAGGTTTAGTAGAGAACCAGTGGCTCAGTCTGAGTCGCCACTTAGTGCTAATCAGGTAATTCCAGCACCCCCCCCCCCCCCCCCCCCCCCCCCCCCCCCTCCCTGCAACACCCTCTCACAACCTTCAAATCCCTTGACCTTGGTTTTCTCTTATTCATTCAACTTGATATCCTGTCCTTTGCCCTCCCTGAACCCCTCCACTTCCAYTAGTATTGTCCTTATTTAGGGACTCTACAATTATTACAAGGACGGGGGGGGCGTAAAAGCAGTTTTCTTAAGCAGAAAATTAGTCAGAACCCCCCCCGTCCGAAGCACAATGCCCCCCCCCCTCTGGTTTTACGCCCCCCCTGGTAATTATTGCACAGTCCCATAATCAATATTTTAGTTAGAGAACCTATTCATTTCAAACATTAYGTTGGCCAACTCGAAAGCTAATGCTCCTTTGGCCAGCATACACTTTCACTCTGAATCTAACAATTTATTCATTCGTAAATATTTCACCTCTTGTTTATATAATATTCATGTACATATCTTATAAATTAGTGTAAAAATAAACTGAAATTGAAATTGAAACTCACATCCTTCCCCCTAAACCTTTAGTAGCTTGAAAACATGATTTACACCTGCCACCCTGTGGCTATTTCCAGGAAAGTACCATAGTAAAAAAGTACCATAACACAAATGCTTTTATATTCTTCATAATTTTCAGGAAGTAATTTCCAACGAAAAAAGCAAAGGTCAAATGACAAACATTCAAAAAGACATTGTCAGTGCCATTGGTAACAACAACATCGATAATGGAGAAGCCTTCACTGTCAAYATCCAACTTGACCAAGGAGGGCCTGTCGTGCAGAAGAAGGTTTTCTGCCAGAAAGCTAACGCAGACGGAAAAACAACMCAAGTTCCATGTCAAATATTCGAAGTTGCAGGAAAACAAGGCGAGACAAACACACAATTACACATTAATGATGAAAAAGAAACTACAAAGAGTGAGAAAATGGAAAGTGGAAGAAAAGTGGATGGAAGAGAAAGTGAGAATAAAAAGAAAGAACAAAAGAAAGCTGCAACTAATTCTGTTAAAGAATCGAATAAGCAACTGAAAAGTGGARGTATGGAAATGAAAAAAGTTAAGAAAGAAAAACCAAAAGACAGTCCAAAAGAGAAGCAAAATAAAAACAATTTTTCTAAAAGCGTCAAAGTAGAAAAAAGAGGCTCAGATGTCAAAGTATCTGATGCTGTAAAAGATGGAAAATTAAGCTCCAAAACAGCAGAAAATACAGCGAAAWCCAGAAAACCAAAGAAAAAACATGAAACCGAAAGAAGGACAGCAACACCTCACAAAGACGAAAACATGAGTTTGCAAGAAAAGACACTACGACAAGTTGAGCATGCGCGAGCGACTATAGCGCGCGTTAAAAGTATGCTTTTAGTCCCACAAGCCGCCGTGGAGTCAAATGTTCCTTTTAGAGGAGCAAAAAACACCGCTGGACCTGGAGGGACTGGGCAGGGAGTGTTTCTTAAGGACGATTTAAAATCAACAAAAAAGGGAGAGTCCGTGAGATCTGCTAGTGACGATCCCACATTTGAGAGAAGTCAAGCTCCTCCTATCAAGCACTATCAACCTGATAAGCAACAGAAGCAGTTTTGCGAGAATCCTTCCGATAATTCAAATAAAAAGCGTAAAGGGGACACATTAGGTAGGGGCTGTCATACTCCATCAAAGAATGGTCCCCAGAAACAGTCAAAGAAAGTAGTTTCTTCAGAGAAARTCCAGAAGAATTCTGAGAATGGTAAACAAAGTAGGCCCCATGCTTCTAAGACTTCTCAAATCCCTGAAAAAAGCCATGGAAACAATAAAGTTAAAAAATGTCCCCAGTCCACTGAGGGACATGTTGAATATAATACCAAATCAACAGAGGCCMCCAAACAMGGGAATGACGGGAAGGAAAAGGTTCTGTTAAGCTTGAAAGAGTTTCAAGARGTTTTAAAGAAGAGTAAAAAACAACCTGGACATAACTTTGATCATCGTAAGTGTGATGATATCGACGATCCTATGGGTCAGCTGTCTCACAAGGCAACCAAGTTCAGYACTGTTGTCAGCGTCATTTCMAAAGGAGTTGAGTAAGTAGTGYTTATGGTCAGTGGATATGACTGTGAGAATGAATAGACGTCTTGTAGTTCCTGGAAGGGGAGAGCCTACGTAGCACTCAGTTGATGTAATATATTCATAAAGATATAATACAAAACACATAATACAATAGAACGAGAAACAATGGAATACAATACATTTTATGAATACATTACATCAACTGCGTGCTACGTAGGTCCCCCCTCAGGGGGTTGGTACCCAAACCAGGCTCTCCTCGACGGACAATGAAGTGGAGTCTGGGGACGTTTTCTTTTGTAGTACACTCGTCATCAATAGTTGAGTTTCGCGATCTTTTTTACGCTGTGTTAGCCTCAATTGTGTGCTAAAATATTYAGAAATGTAGATAAAACTCRTGAGATTTCAAACTATTYCCATTGTCTTCTATACTCACAGATCTCTTACATTTGCACGGGCTGTTGTRAATAMAARAATTTATTACATTTTTTTAGGCTAACAYAACGTAAAAGAGAWMGCTAAAAGGGTTTATTMYAGTTWTMAGAGYAGTCACATGACCTTCTGTTATTTTTAGAGTGAGCCGGTATATTGACTTCAACGAGAATATTTCCGGTCTCCCCAAGCCCCCTCGATGTCTTGCGAAGATAATACCTGGACGGTCATTGGGCGATATTAAAGTAGGTGAAATTTGGCATGCTTTTTTGTGAATATTATCGCGGTCACACATACAAGACTGTTGCATCTTTTTCAGGGAATACTTCAAGTCGGTAAAAGTCCAGTGCAGCCTGAAAGCAGCTTGAAACAGGTTGGTTAAAAAAATATAGAAAGAAAAATGAAAGAAAAACTCATCATTTTCTGTACAGTCCTGATAATGCTGTTGAACAGCGAAAGCTTGACTCCATAAAAAGTGTATTTACCATCTATCAGCAGTATCTGGCCACATTTGCTATATTATTANAAGGGATGCCGGTTGATTATGGTACTTTAACATCTTTTTCTGTTTTCCTTTGCAGACTTTGCTGTCGCATGCTCACCTTGTAGGGAAAAACATTGGACTTGAAGAGATGGGAACAAGAATTAACAGAGCACTTAAAAGGGTAAAGAAGCGATGCAATACAGTATAATTCTGTCATATTTGAGTACAACCCCCTATTTCCTCTCAATTCGCTGATTTTCACTCGAAGACAAGTACATTCCTTAGCCTTTTCCCTACCTATCTTCTTATGCTAGCCTACAATAAGCTGTTCCACTCAATAATTTCAGAATCCAACGTCCTATGTACTCCTCAACATAGCATCTCTATACTGGCGCGTCACTGGGGAAGCTTAYGAAGCCGTACGCTGTCTKCGATTGGCTGTACARCATGCACCTACAAAAGCAGCWYTGGTGAGAAATGAATGAAAGGATRGATGGATGTRTGAAATGAKAAATGAATGGATGAGATAATAGATGAATTGGGAAATAGATGAATAAATGGGTGAAAGGATTATTAAATGGGTGAGTGAAATGAAAATTGAATGGATGAGAAAATAGATGGATTGGGAAATAGGTAAATGAATGGATCGAAAGATAAGGCGGAAAAATGTCTGTGGTAATGATAACATGTATAATTTTTGACGGATGAAGYTGGTAAACTGAACTAGTTCATGCGCCAAAGAGAAACTGAAAAACGACTAACACGTKATATATCTCAACAGGACATACCTCTGATCAGTCTTCAAAGTATTTTGTATCGAGCTGGATTCTTGCAAGATGCAGCAACTATTGGCAAAGAGGCTCTTGAGGTTTGTCATTTTTGGGACAAATGATTGCATGAATGGAAAATTTTTTAGATGTATTGGTGAAGGCTGGATTACAGTGGCTGCGAAGTGAATTGCGCAGTCTTTCTAGGCGTTAAAAACAAACCGCAAGCACAAACTACTCATGGTGTCCTTTTGAAATCACCAAAAAAATGTGTTTGTTTATTTAGAAGCCACGTTTAATCCATCCTTTATGCCTCCATTACGAAGTATTTGATCAAGAACATTAGTTCATTGTTGAGATAAAGTTCGCCCTTGGACCAATCAGAGCCCAAAAGAGCATTCASTAACAGAAGTGTAAAATTTTATTTCTAGATTTCGCCGAATGCTGCCATTGCYCACTTTGCTCTAGCGAACACACTTGCTGCACAGGTAACCCAATACAATAACCAAACACAGTAGAGTGATTCCATGTATTAATGTATTTGTATTAATAATCATCGTTGTTATCATATCACAGGGAAACATTACACAGGCAACCCAACATTTCCTAATCGTCCTTCAACTGGAACCAGGCTTCGCCCCGGCGATCGAGCGACTCAAGGTGATCCAATGTATCCTATGGAACGAGCAGAAAAAACTTGAAAAAGAGGCTGACGAACTGCGCAAACTCCTGGCTAACTCGTGACAATGTTTTGTGACCTTTTTAGAGTATGACCAATAGATAGTCAGCTGTAGTTGGTGGTTAAATTTAGTCACGGGTAAAATAGCGTGACAACTTTGAGGACGTATGTGACACAGTAGCGTGACATGACGCTTCTGGAAAAATGAAATACACACTAAAATAATGTTAAAATGAATTCTATTTTTAATGAAATAAAATAATATGATTACGTACATCAGTCGTTGTATCATAATCATTATTTAATGACTGTTTTCCGAGATGAATTAGTTGWTTTTCGAGTGAATTTGTCAAACAAAACACCCGTTGTTTTTCTGATGGGAAAAKTCAGAAGCTCTTRAYCAGTTAAGATGTAAATTGCAGCAACAATGAAGCATGCGYAAGMAAAAAAWYAA